AGAGAGAGAGAGAGAGAGAGAGAGAGAGAGAGAGAGAGAGAGAGAAGGGAAGCGCAAGTGCCTCTCTCTGTCTCTGTCTCTTTCTGCAAATGGCAGAAGCGGCTGGCAGCCGCAGGAGAAGGCTCAAAGAGCCACATGCGGCTCCGGAGCCTCAGGTTGCCGACCTGTGACCTAGGGAGCTCTTGTGCCTGGGGGTGGGCTTGAACCCAGATTCTTCAGTCCTAGTCCAGTGTTTTCACCATTAATCACTTGGTCTCGCCCTGGGTGTACCCAGGAGTCTTTGGCTGCTTTAATTTCTTCCGGCCTCTCCTTTAGGATTCTCCCATCCTCTAATTTTCTTCCTTTTTTTTATACCTAGCATTGACCTGGTGACGCTGCTCCAGAATCCTGGTGGCCCGAATCAAGACCTGGAGGCCACCTCCTTTGATGCTTCTCAGCAGCAGAACTTTGGCCAGGCGCTCATCTTCACCAATTCCCAGCACAATCCTCAAATGGCCTTGGGAACAAGCAATCCAAGCACTGTGAACACTTACTCTGCACAAAGCCTGGTAACGCCCGTCTTTCGGGTTATTCAGAATGCACAGCCCAAGATCTGAAAAAACAAAACAAAATTGGACGGCTTTGAACTGCGATGGGGTTGGGGAACTCTAGTTGCTTTTGGGAAAGGATAATTGTGGAGTCCTTGGTGCTCTCTGAGGCTCTTGGTGCGCTCCGAGCTGGGTGGTTCTCTTGCAGACGTTGCATTACCAAATGAGGTAACGTCCTCAGTGTGCTTTGGGTGCTGTGTAGTTGATAATAAAACGTCTGCAAGGAAACCATTAAGCTCAGAGAGCACTAAGCGCCCCACGGTCCTCCTCGTCCACTCTGCAAACCCCCTCCCTCTTAGCACTGATGATGTTTCCTAGTTCAGGGGACTAGGGAACATCATACCCCAACTTTTTGGTTCCAGGAACTGGCTGCTTCAGTGGTTTCAGCAGCAAGGGGGGGGGGGATGGTTTTGCAGGCACAACCTACAGTAGGGGAAAACATTATTGGATCCCCTGCTGACTTTGTACGTTTGCTCGCTGACAAAGAAACGATCAGTCTATAATTTTAATGGTAGGTTTATTTTAACAGTGAGAGATAGAATAACAACAAAAAACCCCAGAAAAACGCATTTCAAAAAAGTTATAAATTGATTTGCATTTTAATGAGTGAAATAAGTATTTGACCCCTTCGCAAAACATGACTTAGTACTTGGTGGCAAAACTCTTGTTGGCAATCACAGAGGTCAGACGTTTCTTGTAGTTGGTCACCAGGTTTGCACAGATCTCAGGAGGGATTTTGTCCCACTCCTCTTTGCAGATCCTCTCCAAGTCATTAAGGTTTCGAGACTCACGTTTGGCAGCTGGAACCTTCACCTCCCTCACAGATTTTCTATGGGATTAAGGTCTGGAGACTGGCTAGGCCACTCCAGGACCTTAACGTGCTTCTTCTTGAACCACTTCTTTGTTGCCTTGGTTGTGTGTTTTGGGTCATTGTCATGCTGGAATACCCATCCACGACCCATTTTCAATGCCCTGGATGAGGGAAGGAGGTTCTCACTCACGATTTGACGGTACATGGCCCCGTCCATCATCCCTTTGATGCGGTGTAGTTGTCCTGTCCCCTTAGCAGAAAAACACCCCCAAATATAATGTTTCCACCTCCATGTTTGACGGTGGGGTCCTCCTCCTCCTCCTCCTCTTCCTTTCCAGAAACGCCACTCCCTTCTAGCAGTGATGATGTTACCTAGTTGGGTCGTGAAATGTCTGCAAGAAAACGACCAAGCACAGAGAATACTAAGGACTCCATAGTCGTCGTCGTCGTCGTCGTCCTCCTCCTCCTCCTCCTCCTTGAAATCACATCCCCTTCTAACAATGATGATGTTACCTAGTTGGGTCATGAAATA